CAAGTGTCTTTTGAAGCGAGGCGCTGAACTCGTTTGTTTCTGCAAACATCAGTAGGAAGCTTTTGAAGCGAGGCGCTGAACTCGTTTGTTTCTGCAAACATCAGTAGGAAGCCAGACATATTATGTCTGAAGTCAGACAAAAATTGCGGGGTTTCCCTTTTGTAATAGCTTGTAATTTTGTTTTTATACACATTCAACTATGCAGCCTTGAAGTGGTTAACCCATAAAGAAAAAAATCCCCACATGTATTACAAACAGTCCCACAATGTAGCACTCGTAAGCTCAGATAGACGGACAGCAGTAAATATCTAACCTCCTTGACAGAGGTAATAATTATTTTATTTCTATTTTGTTTTCACAGCAACAACACAATTTGCGTTAATCAGTGGTCAACAGCTAATGAGTCTATCGCTGGTGTGATTGGTCTAGTTGAAAGTGAATTATTCAGTATTAGAACAACTACCAACTGATCGTAAAATAGTCTGACAGTCAACATATTAAAATGATGGCTCAAATAAAGCAGATATTCTTAATTGGTTCTCTATTGATTGCAATTTTAGTCGAATCTATTCTATTAGAAGGACTTTTTCCGATTCTTCCACAACTTTTAAAATTATTCTCTGATCCAGAATCGGAACAAAGTCTTAAGGATGAAACTCATCAGTTAAGCGCCACTGACACTTTCAAAATTGTCTTACTTTTTAACAGTTCTACAGTACTTTCAATTATAATGTCTCCATTTATTGGATATCTTACCGATGTTTTATCGTATAACTACGTCAATCTAATTATCATGGTAATTGAATTCATTTGTTGTCATATTTATGCTTTTGGGAACATTTATGTTCATTTTCTAATTGGACGCATATTGTTCGCAATAGTTATCGCTGGTTTATATTTAACAGTTTCAGTTACAATTATCGACGTTTTCGAAGACGATAAAACAAAGTGTAAGATATTGGCAATTATGATGTGTGTGTACGGATTATCAAATATTGGACAAGTCTACGCGGCAAATATGTATCATCTTGTAGGAAGACCACTCGAATTTATGCTCCCAGCTATCATCGTTCTCGTGTGTATTGCATTATACTTATTTGGACAATTTGGTACAGACAGCCCTAAAATTACACCGAAGAAAGGTACTGAAAACCCTGGTAATCATAAAGAAATAGAAGTTGGATCAAGATTTCACATTTTTGAAAAGCTAATAATACTTCCTCTGTTTTTAATGCTAGTTATTGGAATTATTCGTTTTTCTTTAATAATAATACTCCCCATATCAACAACCAAAATGTTTGGTGCAACGACAGAGGAGAGGGGAAATATTTGGTTGCCTTCATGCATAATGCTCATTATTCTCATGTACATTAGCACGTACCTGATGAATAAAAATATAAATATTTTCCTCATAACAGGAATATTTTCAATCTGTGGATCAGTGGCAACATTATTTATACCATTTTGTTCTGGGCTTGTTTGTACATCACTATTGGCTGGTATTACCAGTGCTATGGAGGTGAGCGCACGTTTTGTAATCAGTACGTTTCTTAGTATTGCTGTTAACAAGTTGCCACGATTTCAAAAAGTAGCGGGGTTCATAATTGGACTACAAAACAGTGCGCTTGTTGGAACTATTATTTTGGGTTATTTATCCCTTATACTGTACACTGCAATCGGATTTACTGCACTTTGTTGGGTCCTTAGTTCTATAATGTTATTTGCTGGTATATTGTCGCTATGTTTCTGTTACCTTTTTTCGAATGTACAAAATGAAATGCAAGAAGACATTGAAACAAAAGGTGAAAGCACTGTACTCATAAATAGAGAATACAAATGAACGAATGTTTTCCTTTTAAACCTTATCCAGAAATGTCTTCACACTACTTTTGTTAGTTAGTTTTAATGGCGCTATAAAAATATGAACATTTTATCATTAAATTGCAGTATTTAATTATTAAATCAAACTATTTTAAATTTTTAAGATGAGTTAGTTACCATTGCACTACTAAGGTAGGGTAGTTTATCGCACATGGATGGGAATAATTTGCTACATTTTTCACTTTGACCCCTGCGGGAAAATTCTTTGATTCTTTGATTCTTTCCCGGCAAGATAACTATTAACCATTGAAGGCAGAATATCGTATAATGTTCCGAGAAATCCTTAATGTTCAGTTATGGTGTTCACACAGTGTGTAATAAATTGAGTGGATGAGCATAAACACGCTAAATATAAATTAATCATGTATTTACTCAACAATTTCGTTGCCTGGGGACCAAAGTACTTCACTAAAAACTTTTATTTAACTTCAAAATGATAATCAGTACCAGTACTTTTAACATTCTGATATTTTTAAGCCTAAATGTACATTAGTACACTTACTACTAGTACTAATTAATTAGAGTGATTTTTCAGGCTAAGCATAGTTTACTTTACTACTGTAATTAGAATGTGATTTTACCAGGACATATTATTTGTCTCTCAAAATTTAAAATGAAATTCCTAGTAAATAGAAATTTTATATGGAATCTGTAAAAAATAGCATTGCACAATTGTCCAACATAGGAGGTGGGTTTATATACAGTAGTATAACTATATAGTATAAAGTAAATTGTTGGAGTGTATATTGCAAGCCTGACTGATTAACTTGACAGCATAGCCACTAAGTCTAAAGGCATGTGCTCAAAACGTGATAAAGACGTCCTCAAATTTCCTGTGTATGAGAACATAAAAATCTGCACTTGATACTCAACGAGAAGTCCCAGAATCTTCTCTAGAATTGTTAATTTTTATATGCTGATTATTTCATTCATAATTATATAGTGACTGAACAGGATAGTGCATTGATTGCTCTGTTCATTCAAATACCTTGCAATTTTTATTAGTAATTAATAAACTGATTTTTTTTGTATGTTCAGGTAATTGGATGTTTTGTGTAAAGCCTGTTCTAAATTGTATTATTTGATTTGATTTTCCTTCTTACTTTATTATTCACTTAATGATTGTTTTGTTAAATAAAAGCATTTCTTTTAGTTTATATTTGTACCTTATCTGTTTATTTCTTGAATAAATGAGCATTATTAACTAGCTATATATAGCATTAATACAATAGTGTGTGTATAATATTATAAGAAACCAACTTTTTTAAAAGTATATTTTGAATATTAAATTGTAGTGTCTCACTTTTGGTAACACATGATGGCTTTTACAGGACAGACCTGCACTGTTACCCACGGCTACCAACCGTAATCCTAATTGTATCAAGAATTGAAATTAAAGTACACAATGTTATGAGACGGGCTGACTTTGATGATGTGCGACTCTTGCTTAGCAATATCAGTGTAAGTACCGTAGGGAAATTTATTCCTTGCCATACCTACACTGAGTATCAGTATTAACAGACATATAAAGCTATACAATGGTACAGAATTGCACAGAACGATGTATAAATAAATGTAGTTGGCAATACTAGCAATGTACAGTTCTTGATACATGTGATAATGCAGAGCGTAAATATTGAAAATGTAGAACTTGTAGAACTTGGTATAATCACTCTACAGACTGTTTCATGCTAATGCAATCTTCAGGAGTGAGAGAATACAAGGATTGTGTGAGTATGTGAATGCTAAGGCAGGTGAAAATGCAAATGAGTTACCGTAAATAATAAATAAATAAATAAATGGACTTTTGTAGTAGACAATCCTCGGGCCTGGTGTATAGAAAAGTGGATATACAGTATGCCTACGTAAGCTTTAATACAACTTTAATGTATAAAATGCGAGTGAGGTAGTGTTCCATCGTGAATTGGATGCTGTTTGATGTTGCTTTTAAATTCACTTTCGATAAAATTGGTTTTCGGAAAACTAGGATTCGTCAAACTTCGTTTCGCAATTTTTAGTTGGAAATTGATATTCAGTAAAGTGGACTTGATAATCTTGGTTTCGGTAATTAGGGTTTCGGCAATCTGCACTACATCCTATTTATAGATCATTTATAGCAAAACAAGAAATTAAGTACACATTAAGAACTTATGCAGGCATGGCCAGGGAGTCACCACTGGGATCTAGCAGCTGAAAGCCATGAAAATGTATTACTGGAAGACAAATTTTATATTCTACAACATTTTATACACCTGAGCTAAATGTTCGAGTACAATAATTACAAGCGAAGTGTTAGCATGGCTTTTGACCAATGGCGTTTGTTGAAGAAATAGTTCAACCAGGGAACAGTTAAATTGTTCCCTGTTCAACAAACTTTAATAGATAAGATTCCCATCATGAATTGGATGCTGTTAGATGTTGCTTTTAAATTCACTTTCGGTAAAATGGGTTTCGGAAAACTAGGATTCGTAAAATTTGGTTTCACAATTTTTAGTTGGAAATTGATATTCAGTAAAGTGGACTTGATAATCTGGGTTTCGGTAATTAGGGTTTCGGCAATCTGCCCTACATCCTATTTATAATTCATTTATAGCAAAACAAGAAATTAAGTACACATTAAGAACTTATGCAGGCATGGCCAGGGAGTCACCACTGGGATCTAGCAGCTGAAAGCCATGAAAATGTATTACTGGAAGACAAATTTTATATTCTACAACATTTTATACACCTGAGCTAAATGTTCGAGTACAATAATTACAAGCGAAGTGTTAGCATGGCTTTTGACCAATGGCGTTTGTTGAAGAAATAGTTCAACCAGGGAACAGTTAAATTGTTCCCTGTTCAACAAACTTTAATAGATAAGATTCCATTAAAAAAATTCAAAGGATACAAAGATAAGGCTTTCAAAAGTGTATTATAATATAATATACTTAAGTACTCGAAGAATTGTGTCGCTGAATTCCGTCTCGCTGTGATACTGTTTTTCAGTGATATTGAATTTGAAATGTTCTCCTAAATGATGTGGGTTTGTGTATCCCATTCCCGACTTATTAGTTTGTTTGAAACTTTCCAGATAGTCCAGTAATATGAAAGATTTGCAATTCTGGAGGAGGAGAAAGTAGGCTGCATTTTTATTTAATTTTATTCCAATTCCCAGCTAAGAAAATCACACAAACGAAGAAACATGGAAGACAAAACGAAAGCTCTAGCTAAAAAGTAACGGTACACTGGGTATTTCTAAAAGTGTAAAACACTAAGTGTAAATAAGTGTAAAGGAACTGATTTTTAACATTTAATTAAAACAATTAAAATCTAACAATTAAACATTTAGAATTGCATGAATGAAAGAAAGTACTAAGAAGTGTTGTACTAAATCTTCTTCGACTAGTTAAGATTTGGTCTCTACCTTAAATTGTAACTTATTCCAATAAACAAAGAAAATTTACAAAATTGGAATAATTAAATGAATTTTTACAAACTAATATTTAAACACAACAGAATCATTATATCTAGACTTAAAATTTATAAAATCATGAATATTAAAATCAATTTCATTAAAAACTCTTGAAAATAAATAAAATACAAAGGTACTTCAATCTCTGTTCCACTGTTGGCAACTGCTATTGCTGAAGTCGCTGCTTAAATTCCGCTTAGGTACAGAGCTTTGTGATTCTCTGTGACTAGTTTAAATTAGGACTCTTGAACCTTAGTTGGAATTCGTTCCCATAAACAATGAAATTTATAGAGAATAAATATTTTTTAATTTATTTACTTCTTCTAATCCAACAGCGAGTCATATAATACATAAATATTAAACAATAAAAGAAAATGTTTATAAGTTGCAAAGTATAAGTGTCGGAAATGTTGACTTATAAAAAATGTCAATATCATTTGTAGAAGAAATGGAATTAAATTGTATTGGAATCCTAGAAAGAAAACAACCTTTACAAACATCAACTCTATTAAAAGGGACATTGAAAACAGGACAAGAACGCAATTAACTAGAATTAACAAGAAGACCAAACAATTGAACAAGATCACAGATAAAAGACGAATTAACACATTTAGGGTATAATAAACACCATATCATGTAATAACAACCTTTTTCTAGCAGAAATTAAAGGACAAGGGTAGCCAAAGATTTAACAAGAAAACCTGCAAAACTTAAAATAAATTCTATCGCAACAAACTGAGAATCAGAAGTAGAACTAAAGATAACACTACGATATTCAGAATTGAAAGTAATTAAATTATGTTAAAAACTAATAATGGCACCACGGCTTTTAATGTCCCTGAAATGTCTCTAAACAAACCCAATAATTCTGTTACACTTATAAATTACATAATCAATAAGCTTAACAAACGTATTTTTACAATCAATTACAACACCTAAATCACAATGAATAAAAATTCTATTGAATAAAAATTCTATTGAAAAAATCTCTTTGAATTCTATCTAAAAAAATGAATTTGTTCTGGCAAATTTATATTTAAATACCATGGAATCTTTACACTGTACCTACAGTTTAAATTGATAAAAGCATAAATATTAAAATCAATTTTATAAAGAAAAGAAAAACTCTTAACAATATATAAAACACTAAAGTACTTTGTTCCGTTGTTGGTAACCGAAACTGCTGAAGCTGTTGCTCAAATTCCAGGGGTTCAGCGACCCTCCGCAAAGGTTTATTAATAGCAGTAACATGCTGCTTCTGGTAAGGAACCCAGACGGGTGCAGCATATTCTATAATAGGTTTAAACAAACCATTAAATAAAGGATAAAAGTATAATGTAACAAAACGTTTGATAAAACCAAGAATTTGAAGTGATTAGTTAGAAACATCAGAGACATGGTTGGACCAAGATAGATAATGAGAAAAGTGAATACCAAGATATTTGTGGGTTGAAACTGATTGTATTTCAACAGAATTAATAAAATATAAATTAGAAATACATTTTTAATTGCATTTTTTGGCATTAGGTTGCATCATGTTTTCATTGCATAAGTTTGTAATATTAAGATTTTTGTAAACATCATCCGTACACTGCCGTATTTTAGATGTAACAACCGTCGGAAGATTAAAAACGAAAGTGTTAAAAAGAAGAGGGCCAAAAATAGACCCTTGTGGAACTCCAGAATCAACTTGAGTCCATCTAGATGTCTCGCCATGTAAAAGAACCCTCTGTTGCCAAATGAAAGAAAAAATGAGATTCATTGCAGTAAAGGCCCACACAAAGCGAAATTATGTAGTATAGAAAAAAGCTTAGAATGGCTAACTCGGTTGAAAGCTTCCTCCAAGTCAAGAAAGATGGCATCAATGACTGGGGTTTTGGCAGCATGTAATGACATAGACCATTCATGGTTTATGTTTTATTAACAATCACCCCAAACAAGGCTAATGAAGCCACTCAAGGTAAGGTGTTACGAATTTAAAGAAACCGGTTCACAAGATATTTAAATTGGTGAAGGTTGATATACAAAAGGAATACAATATGAAGGCGGTGAGACCCAGAGAGAAACAAAACGACAGATGAACGCAAGTGAACACAGTATAAATTTTTTACCAGATTTAAAAATGGGGATAATTTTAGCTAAGTTCCAGGCATGAGGAACAATGCCTTTAAAAAAGCAGGAGGGGATGAGAAACATTTTTTGACTTGGAATTAAATAAAGTTTGTTAATGTAAAAATATGGTTTCCTATAGCTTCAGATTTTGAATAGTTTTTTGAAGTCCTTGCTCACAAATATCAGATTCAACAGAATCAACTTGTACGTCAAAGGCTGCAGATTCGACAGACAGGAGGCCTAGAAGATTATCCAGTTTGTTTAGATCTGGCCGCTGAGAGTCTAGCTTAAACTGCATCACTTCAATGCCTTCAGCTTGAAGCTTTGAGACCATTTCACCAGTTACATGCTGACTACGAAGAAAGGAAACAAACACCAGTCGAGCCTTGTTCACTTCCTTATAATACAACTTAAATAACTCTGTGAAAGAATACCCCTTGTAGTTTGTATTTTCCTCTTCGTCAGTTACCACGACGAAGGTCTTAACAACTTCTTTATTTTTGTAAAATCGCCAGAGGCTTGATGCAGGGCAAGTGCTACCTGTGGTTTGAAGTGTCGTTGCCAATTCCAAAACCTTTTGAGAGAGAACATATTTAGTAAATTTTTACACTATTGAGGTTTTTGTTAATTGTTTCAGATGAAGTGGGGAAAGAGGCACAGATTACATAATGTAACAGAAAAGAACATGTATCAGGAGCAGCCTGAGGGAGGGGAACAGGAAAATGTTTCCACTCCCACAATTTTGAATTTCTTTTTTTGGTTTTGTTTTAGTAATATTTGATTGTGCAATTTGCCTTATTTTTTATAATTAAAAAATACTATTAATATTTAGCTTTATTTATTTATACTTACAGTAATACAAAATTGTAAGTTAAACAAAATATTGTGTTAATTTATTATGTTTCATTTCTACCTGCAGTTTTTAATAGTCAGCAAAAACTGCAGACACAATGAAACAATAAAGAAATATTGCTGTAAAAGAAATGCACTGAATGTATTTAAATTGTTTTCAACTTACCTCATTTGTTGTTTTTGGAACAGATGGTGGTGTGTAGTTTATTTGGTGAAAGAAAACCAGCTTAGCTTTGGTCAACACTGCGAATAAGCTAGCAATAATGGTACTAACTCTGATAGCCACACCCATAGAGGGCGACATATCACCTATGACCACAACTGGAGCTTGAAGTGGAACTCTAAAAATTAACACAGAATTGTTAAGTCAAAAAGAGCATCAAAGATGATTAATGATATAGTATATGACCCATATGTGTGTGTCCAGGTAGAGAGTAGGTCCAGATGCCAACATCATTCAAGCACAATCAAGATACTGTTCATAAGTACCGTATATAATTGCATATAAGGCAATCTGCATATAAGACAACCCCCGAGACAGAGAAGATTTTTGGACAAATTTTGTATGTCTGGCATATAAGATGAAGCCCTGTTTCATTGTAGGAATTCCTACTTTTAGCTGCTTTTTATGATCTTGATACTGCATCTAGCTGGCTAAAAACGGAGCAAAATTTAGGGCCAATCTTCCAAATAAATCCGTTTTATGGGCTTTCAAATATTCATCAAAATCTTATTTTTCGCATTAATTGCATTCATTCATGTTAACTGATACTAGCTTCATTTCAGTAGTAAATTTGCGAGGTTACATACGACCCGCACATAAAAGACGAACATGATTTAAAAATTAAAAAATTTGTTGCGCCTAGAAGACGAAATAACTCACTCTATCTTCTTCAGATGAACTTCAGCAATTGGAATAAGTTTTTTAAAGAAGCAAACACTTTCACCTGAAATATGAAAGTTAAAAAAAACTTACTATAATTAATTACTAACTCAATAGCAGACCCCCGAAGTTGGGAGAAGCACAAAGAGATCTGAATGAGCCTTCTTAAAGCTGGCCACTCACTGAATCACAGGACAGTTGTACGACCGATGGTCGACGAATCCAATTCCACTCCTTGTAATCGTAAGATGACCCAATGCAATCGGCTGACTATCGGTAGCAGTCTGAACGGATCTGTAAAACAATCTGTTGCATTCGTGTCGTGGTGTTACATTCTCTATAGAATAGCACTGGCCGACAACCGTCAAACGCAGTAACTGTCTCTTATACACATCTATATATAATCATTTAAGCACAATCAAGATACTGTACAAGTACTGTATATAATTGCATATAAGGCAATCCGCGTATAAGACAACCCCCGAGTCAGAGAAGATTTTTGGACCAATTTTGTATGTCTGGCATATAAGATGAAGCCCTGTTTCATTGTAGGAATTCCTACTTTTAGCTGCTTTTTATGATCTTGATACTGCATCTAGCTGGCTAAAAACGGAGCAAAATTTAGGGCCAATCTTCCAAATAAATCTGTTTTATGGGCTTTCAAATATTCATCAAAATCTTATTTTTGCATTAATTGCGTTCATTCATGTTAACTGATACTAGCTTCATTTCAGTAGTAAATTTGCGAGGTTACATACGACCCGCACATAAAAGACGAACATGATTTAAAAATTAAAAAATGTGTTGCGCCTAGAAGACGAAATAACTCACTCTATCTTCTTCAGATGAACTTCAGCAATTGGAATAAGTTTTTTAAAGAAGCAAACACTTTCACCTGAAATATGAAAGTTAAAAAAAACTTACTAATTAATTACTAACTCAAAAGCAGACCCCCCGAAGTTGGGAGAAGCTACAAAGAGATCTGAATGAGCCTTCTTAAAGCAGGCCACTCACTGAATCACAGGACAGTTTTACGACCGATGGTCGACAAATCCAATTCCACTCCTTGTAATCATAAGATGACCCAATGCAATTGGCTGACTATCGGTAGCAGTCTGAACGAATCTGTAAAACAATCTGTTGCATTCGTGTCGTGTTACATTCTCTATAGAATAGTATCGGCCGACAACCGTCAGAAGCAGTAAGGGTCCTGCTTTGCACATCATTATGTCTTGCAAGGCATGGAGTTACCCTGGCGGGATACTCATGGCCAGCAGAGGTAACAAAAAGGCTTGAGGACCCTGGCTAAAGTTTTTTCAGGCCCTACTTTGGGGGTTTAGGGCCACTTATGACCTTGGTGGGATACAGGGAAGACCCTTTTCCACTGCAGTGTTTACAATTTTAAGAGTATATTCTAACGTTTTTTTGTTTTTTTTTACAAGCTTTGCTTCTTAGGGGGCCCGCTCAATGGATTTGGGAACCATGGTGCTTTAAAAAAACAAAATGCCGATTAATACACCGGGCCACTTGTTTAAGATCTGTGGCCCTTGGCTATGGCCATAGAAATCTCATAGATGTTGCGCCATTATTGGCAACTAAGTGCTGCACCCACCTTGCTTCATGCGTAATTTCAACATCAGAAGTCGCTCCATCAATTTTCCATATGGTAATCCAACGGTTTGCTCTTTCTCCAGATATTCTAAGATGATATTGTTAACACCAGGACATGCAAGGTCTTCGTAATTCCTGTTAAGAAAAAAACAAAGTTCATTATTAAAAATATACAATCTCTACTGCCATATACAGACAAGGGAACTATTTGACTTTATGCTTTATATATACCTACAAAGCTTAATTAGCTGTTTATAAACATTTTTCTGTATTGCTGTGTTTGACCAATTTAGTATCATATAGGGAGTAAAGGGTAAATTCAGCCTTTGCTATAGAAAAGTTAGTAAACTATTTGTTTTTTCTGTAGGGAGAAAGACAGTCATAACGTTTAGTGTTGGTATAGAGAGGATGTGTTGTAATATATAAAAAAGGAAGAGAAAATGGTTTATTAGTGCACATGAAGGGAGTTCTCTCTCTCTCTCCTAATCTTTTCTGAAAAGTGGAGTTTCTTTAACTATTTATTAATATTATTGATTATTGTTCAACTATTTAAAAAAAGTTTTTACTAAATGTACCACAATATGGTGTCCAGACTTGTGTACTTCGCAATTGTTATTTTGCTGTCTGTGGTGAGTGTGTTTTTAAATTCCTTCAAGTGAGCAAATGGAATCTTAACATTTTGCAGTAGCTCATTAACATTCGCTTTGTTCAATTCGGTGCAAGCACTGACCACTGAACCCTCGGGGGCTGGTGCACCAAAGCAGTACGGAAGAAACCAGGTGCATTCTGGAAAATCCTAAATAAAATGAAAATGTGTAAAAGAATTTGAATAAATTTGTGTTTTTAAAATTAATTTATGGTTAACTGCATAAATTTATGTTTTACTGTAGTCATTTAACATATTTCTTTTTAGTATATAGTAAAATGATATATATAAAAAATATACAATCCATACCCGTTCAGGATTTAAATGACAGATGTCAGCGAGCTTCCTCCATTTATCCTTTGGAAAATAAAGAGCATAGAACTCTAATTTAGATGTTGACAATGTCCTGACCCAGCGTTGGATGTGACGACAAAGTGCGCCACTCACGGAACCAACAGTGGGCCTTAACGCTTGCGCGCTATCCATATTAGACTTCAGTTTTCTTATTGTTTTGGCATTCTTCTCCTTATTTTCCATTAGTTTTTCAATTTTTTTCTCCAGTTCAAACTGCTTTCTTTTAGAGTCCAAAATTGTTAAAGCCTTTAGGACTTCCACAACACCACAAAGATCGTTCGTTTTTAGCAATGTGTCCGTAAGGTCATGGTCGTGGCGAGCAAAACCAGCAGCCAATGCTTTTACTTTTGACCCTACCAAAAAAGAATGCCATTATATCATCATATACAGTATCATATCATATTATATCATTATTATTATATTATTATTATTATATTATATCACATCATATATCATAGCATATAAACATGTATCATATCATATATCCTATCATGTTATATAACATTATCATATAAGGGCAAATAGAAAAATTTATTATATTATCACTGCCGCCCGCGTCAAAAATTTCGGAAACATTGATGCGGGAATAATTTTATTTTTTAAAATTTATTTATTTTTCTTTTTTGTTGCATCATTTATTTTAACTGCATACAAACAACTTTGCAAGAAAGAAATGCTCACAAAATATAAAGGAATTGGCTCCGAATTCGGCAGACTTCAAACTCTCCCAATTGATTAGATGAGACATTGGGATCACCATAAAGTTGAAAATGCAAAAAACCCATTCTTTAAACTTGTATACTGTCGTTAAAAATAAACAGCTCGCTAACTGAAGTTACAAGTAGACAGCACCGCGGTCCGTCCCTAAAGAGACCCGCCCAGTGGGCTTTACAAGTTAGCCTTATAATGCATCCCGCCCTCATCAATTTAAAAATAATCTAACAATTTTTTATAAAGTGCTTTAATACCATCATATATCATACAGTATATATCATATCACATTAATCATAACATATACTATATCATAATGTATATATATCATATATTATCATAACATATATCACATCATACATCATATCATCTGTATATCATTATATAGGATATAACATTTTGGTTTGATGATTATTATGTGAATTTTTTTGTTTTTTTCAGGTTTGAGAGATATACTGTCTGCTGTTCAACAGTAAACACTGAAAAAACCATGCAATATTGAATTGTTTATGTTGTTTGTATAATATTATTACTGTATAATCGGTAGATTTATAATTAGCTATAGTAATTGTGATAACAAAGTATATATTTTATTATCACCACAACAAGCATCCCTTCCCTTAATGTCAAGAAGAAGAGCATGAACAAAGAAGTTTTTTGGAAGGCTATAAAAGCAGGGTACATAGAGAACAGTGATATATTCTCTGAAACTCTCTCACCATCTTTGATTTCTGCTCCATTTTGTTTCAAGACTAAAAGGGTTGCCAGGTACTTCTGTCGATTCTTTTCCTGCCAACTGTAATGTTGGTCTAGATGACAATTACTCGTAAACAGTTGTCGCAGATCCTTCTCCTGTTGCATGAAAATTTGAATACTGCATTTAATGATAAATCCAATAAATGGCTAGGCCTACAAACTAAATATTTATTAGGCCAACTAAAAAACTTACTAGTTTTTCATCCCCTCGCGCATTCCATTTTCTCTGCCTTAAAAAAATTATTTAGATTTTTTTTTTCTTGATTTTATGAAATGTACGAAAATCAGGCTAACTCAGCTCAGTAAAATTCATCTCGTCATATGTTATGAATCATATCTAGTGCTTCTTTTATTTGCTTTCAATGTGTACTTGGTAAAAGTGAGAAAGTAGTAGTTGTTTCCCATCGACCATCTTGGATTTGCCATCTCAGAGTTAAAAAAAAGAAGTGCCCTCACCCCCCCCCTTTTTTTTTCCAAAATATTAGGGCAAGAAACTACTTTTTTTTCTAAACTGGCCTTATATTAAGGTATAATTACCTCTATTTCAATGACAGGATCTGCAATTGGTTTTTCTTTATTTATTCCTTTCGCACCACCTTGATTACCTCTATTGTTGGCCCAACGTCTTCGACCCTTTCCTCGTCCTCCTCCATTGCCTCGTCCTCCTCCCTTGCCTCTAGACGTTACCTGTGGCATTCTTCCTCAGTCAATCAACTTTATTCTACAAATTGTGAATACCTATTAGTATACCAGTATGGTACAAGGAAAAACCTAAACATTTATACAGAACACAAGACAAATCCACATTTGCAAAATATTATATATTCTCGCGTATAAGACGGGAGTTAAATATATATATATATATATAAAATGAATAGGTCATGCTAATAAACAGTATGAGTTGGTCTCACATTACAGGCAACATGCCAAGAATATATATATATATATATATATATATATATATATATATATCAAGACAGTCGCCAACACTGTTAAATTA